CCTAAAATTGAGATTGAACGATTTTAAAGAGGAAATTTAGGGAAAACCTTTGAAACGTCAAATAACGCTCAGGCATGTCACAGATCTAAAAGAAATAAGCAAGTACAGAACCTCAGACGGCTTAGAGTTGCAGAGAAAACCCTAGAATGAGAAAGGTCTTGAGGAAAGTTGGATCCTGAGTCGAAAAGACTCATATTGCTTGAACACGCCGGAATAATGGCCGGAAAGGCCATAGATCAACAGATCTGAGAAAGATCTAAAGAGAGCCATTGAAGTCGGGCCCCCAAACTTCAAGTAGCTTAGGTTTAACGGTGAGAGAGAGTGAGCACAGGCCACCCATGGCTTGGAATGCCATGGATTCCGGTGGAAACATGGTAGAAACAGGTGGGAGATGATTAGGGTTTCGGAGAGGCTAGAGAGAGTTTGGGAGACGAAGAGAATTTCAAGGCGGCGCCTCAGATAGAATGAATTAGGGTAAAGGGGATTATGGGAATTAAAAATGGAAAGGAAGAATTACGGCCGTTGATCAAAATGATCAACGGCCAGGATTAAAGGGGAGCCGGGGTGGGTTTTAAGATCGGGTCAGGGGTCGGGTAATTTAGGAATTGGGTAGGTTTCAATTTGGGGCGGAATTGGGGGTTAAATTGAGGTTAAAATTGAAAAGAAATGAGGCTATACTTGAAATAGAAATGGGCTAGATGTTAAATAGACAATTTTCCCCTTTTTATTTTTAAAAAATAGTAATAATGATTTTAAAATAAATTAAAAGCACTGAAATAATTAATAATATATAAATATTAATCCAAAAACACTGGAAATAATTTTAGAATTGTAAAATGCTATTAATCGTAAAATAGGCTATAATTGCGATTATATGCAATTTAGATTTAAAAATACCAAATAAATTTGTATAAATATACAAAAAATCACCTTAATTATATTTTGGTGTAAATATGAGAGTAGAAATAAATTATTCACCAAAATGATAATTTGGGAATAATTATTGGATTTTGTACTGCTAGAAATAGACAATAAATTAATTTTAAAATCTTAAAAATTAGGGAAAAACACCAAGACTCTTGGGTATGATTATATATGCATACACATGCTATTTTGGAGGTATTTTGAGTATAAAAAAATATATAGGGAAAAATTGGGTGTCAACATTTGGCACGTCCACTCATTCAGCACTCTTTTTTGTAGTAGCTAGGGGACCATGAATGACTATGTCCCAAAGTTCATAGTCTTCTCCTATGATGTGATCTCACATCCTGTTCTTCCACCAAGAATAGTACTGACCATTAAAGAGTGGAGGCCTATTGGTGGATTGCCCTTCCCAGTTTCCAGGTGGTGCACTCATCTTGATTTGTTCCTAAGGTGTTAGCCTCTTCAAGGATAACCTGCTCTGATACCAATTGATGTTTTAAACGTCAATACCACACAAGAGGGGGGGGGGGTGATTTGTGTGGTACCCAATTTTCGCTTAACTGAACTATAGAAGGACCTGATTCTTCTAGGTGTTCCAACTACTGCTGTTTGCGGAATAATAAATACATAAAAAAAAGAACACAGAGATTTTTACATGGAAAACACCTAGCTCAAAAGGTGAAAAAACCACGACCTACTGCTTGGTAGGATTTTTTCAAACTTCCACTAAAATCACTGAGCCAAAACAGCATTTACAAAATTCTTTGTAAACCTAAGGATTAACTCTAATCCCGTTGTAGCAACTGGCCTCTAACTGCTGCGACAACTTTGAGTTAACTCTAACTTGAATACTCAAAGTACCTATTACAATTGCTTCTAGATAAAGCTGAAAGGTACAATATGAAAACACCTACTACAATTGAACTAGAAATAAAGAAAGACACATAAAACTCTTTATAGAGCTGGTTCTTCAATCTGGTTCATGTAGCTTCAGGTTTGCACACTTGAAACACACATGAACTGCTTGCAAAAAGCCTTGCTATTTTGCTCTCAATTCACGTTTAACTTCTGCGTTTTTGTGCAACACCTGTAATGTGAGAACATCCTGCAATTTATAGAGTTAGAAGATGAAGAAATAACTAGAGTTCTGATGCAACTCTTCCTTAGTGGAAGAGTTGTAGTTGATTTCCACTTCTAACTCCTTCCCTATCTTGGATAGTGTTCTCTTTGAGTAAGGAATCCTTCTCCTTATCAATTATGCAACCTTTCCGATCAGGAGATATTAAATACACCAAGTTAAGCTTATCTCCTTCACGTGCATCCCACATGCTTGAATCTGCCCGTTTTTGTGCACCTGAGGGATGGACCTGGTTCATGCCTGAGTTCCTTTGTTAGTCTTCAAAACTAACCTTTACTTGGGCCAACAAGAAGCTATGAGCAACTAAGATTTGGAGCTTACAATGTTGGACACAAGATATACATCATTTATTTGAAAATAAATAAATTACAATTCTAAACTGCCATAAACAAGGTGACATCTAATGGGTGGAACACTAAAGTTTTCAAAGCTTACCCTCGGACTTCGCAGTCACATAGCTCTAAAATCTGCAAACAAGATGCAGAAGTATAGTATGAGTACAACTGACCTCATGTACTTAGTAAGTATCTTGACTAATCTCAGTAAAGTAATGATGAGGTTTTTAAGTCAAAGATACTCACTAAGATAACCTGAATGGTTAATAAGCAATACAATAACGAAAGAAATAATATGATAGATAACAAGAATAAATAGGAGAAATAGTAAAATGATTAACTAAAAGAAACAATGATCATGTTTCTCAAATATCACAACAAAACCTTTCTTAACAGCTTAAACCAAGAGGATGAAACGATATCCATGAAAATAACATAGTCAAATCCTCAAATCCGCAATAAGATGAATACGTTCAAGATATGAAATCAAATAGCACGGCAAAATCCTTTGTGCATTTATCTCATCCTCACCAAGTATAGAAACACCCTCGTGCAATACCACTCTTCCTCACTAAGCATATATATAACAATACCAAGTAAGGTAGAAAGAATGTAGCTAACATCAACATACAAGGTAGAAATCATTTATATATCAGTAACAACAAAGTAGAATGCATAGATGAAGTAATAATAAGCAACAAGGTATGAGGCATCGATTTAACAACGACATGAGGTGGAAGCTAAGATGTAACGATCCGAACATTCGATTTTAAATTTAACTGTTAGGTGGTTCGAGATTTTGAGTAGCTTCACTTGATGTATTACGACTTGCATGTATGGTTGGTGTGATTTTCGAGAAGTTCGGAGTTGAATTGAAAGAATAATTCTCAATTCAGAAGCCTTAAGTTCAAAGGGTTGACCAAGGTTTGAATTTTGAGTAAACGACCTCGGAATCGGGATTTGATGGTTTCAATAGGTTCGTATAGCGATTTTGAACTTCAGCGTGTGTTCAGATTTGGATTTGGAGATTCCTAGAAAATTTTGGCACTATTCACCGGAAACTGGCAAGTTAAAGAGTTTATAAATTTCAGTGGGAATTGACTTTGGCGTTATCGAGCTTTGATGGATGTTTCGGGACTTATATTGGAGAAGATTATTAATAAGAGCTTTCTTTCCTTTCTCTTTACAGTCATTTTTTTATATTAAAGTTTATTTCAATTGCTAATTCATTTTTCACTGAAATTGAATTGAATCGGTTGCTTGTGATCTTACTTTATAATTTAACTGATTTAGCTTATTAGGAAAAAATTATGTTAAATAACAGCAGGATCGTATAGTATGATTTAATGTGTTCAAACAAGTCAAATTACCATTTAATATGATTAATAATCTTTTCTAGTGTTCACGCATCGTGGGTTCTAATATTAGTTATGCGTAAAAGAAAAACACCTAAAGCCTGTTTGGAATGACGAAGAAAACGAAAATGCAAATTCTCTAAGTATAACTGTATACAGGTGCTAAATTATTTACGATTGCTTTATAGCTTTTCGAGCCGCAGATCAATATCCTAAATCCCTTTCAAATGCTCCAAAATCCTTTTATTTGCCTTCTTTTACTTTACGGCTTCCTTTTAACTCCACTAAGTGCAGTTCTCTCTGTCCTTTTTCTTCTTGTTTTCTTTTCCGTTTGCATAACTTTTTAGAAAATGATAATGTAATTTGAACGAATACATCCTCTTTGACATAGTTATATTATTTTTTTAATAGTTGTGGTGCCTCTATTAATTCTAAAGGGTACATGTACCTCCTATTTTCACCGGCAGTGGTACTAAATAACTCAACATTAAGACTTGAACAGATAAAAAGAAATCAAAAATCATGTTATTTATGTGAATACTTATGTGCAGGGGCAAAGATAGAGAGCCTAGTGCGGGTTCGACTGACAGTAGCTTTGGTTTCGAACCATGTATTTGTCTTAAAAAATTTATTGAATATGTATAAATTATTAATTTAGAACCTAATAAGTTAAAACAATTAAAATTTCGAACCAATAAACTTGAAATCCTGACTCCGCCTCTGCTTAGGTGAATAGTGTCATAAATTCTTTGTGTAGTGGCATATACGTACCTTTGACCGATACAAGAAAAGGAACAATAATGTTGATACATGGAAGATGGACACAAATATCGATTGTAGAACATAAATCAAAAGGAAAAAGACCACCGAGAACTAAAGTAACGCATTTTCTTTAAACAAAGAGATAAATAAGAATTGGAGCAATGCCACCTCAGATTATAGTAACGTATGCGCGTGTTTGAAAGTTAGAAATAAAGTAACGCCTAGTACTGCAATTTCTGTAAGTTGGATATTTCGAATCCATGTCTTATTATTATTATTACTCCATCAGAAAAGCGTGGCCCTCTAAGTATGTATCAGATCAAGTCTTTCCTTGATTTTAATATTAGAATTAAGCAAAGCATGCACACACCTTCCAAATATTTTACTCCTAAATTAGTTGGATGATTTTATGAATTATCTATATCTGCTTCACTTGACTCTACTAATGTTTAAAAGAATTCATCAACTAGTAGATTGTAGTTTCGATAATGGTGAATAGGATGATTATATAAACATTGGTAAGGTAGAGACAAAGGAATAAAAAGCAAAAGGGGAAAAGGTATTTTGTGTTGCAGTAAAACACTTCACATGGCCACCCTTCAGCTGCCCATTTCTGTATTCTTTAGCTTTTTCTCTTTGCATTATTTATCTATGTCACACTTTCCCTTTTAGGTCTTCTTCTTGTTGCTTGTATTGGGATTTGACTGCAAGAGTGCTTCATCAGATGGTGCTGCTGCTCTAAAGTCTAAAGTGAAGCTCAAACAACTCATACAAGAATGGTGTCTCCTTACAACTCATTTACCACTCGGTAATCTCCATCTTTTGGGCTATACATAACTGTTGATCAAGAATTATTCGGTTACAGTATCAAAGACAGTTTTTTTACTGCGAATTATGAGTTGGCCATGGTTTTTGATCATCATATTCTGAATGACATGTTTGATGAATGTACATTTTCAATGAATTTAGTCTTTCAGATTGATTTGAGCTACCCCACTTCCTCCAGCAGCCCATTTTGGCTGCCCTATTTGATGATTCATGCTATGATTATATTGTTTCCTCTCTCCAATTATTATTTTTTCAGTATTCATTGCACCTTACAAGCATTATCCATATAGGGATTACTTAACATTATCCTTTCCAAATTCCCTCCAGTGAACAGTTACAGGAAGGCCTTTTTAGAGTAACTCTTTCTTCTAACATTTGAAGGGTAGCCTTGACGTAACTGGTAAAGTTGCCGCCATGTGACCAGAAGGTCATGGGCTCAAGCCGTGGAAATAACCTCTTGCAGAAATGCAGAGTAAGACTGCATATGATAGACTCCGGCCCTTCCCCGGACCCCGCGCATAGCGGGAGCTTAGTGCACCGGGCTGCCTTTTTTTTCTTCTGACATTTATATGCTTTCTTTGCGTATGTCATTGTCTCTTTAGTATGCTATTTCACATAATTTGTCAAAGTGCTACTACTGTGAACTTGAATATTGGTGTCCTATCTTATCATCTTCTTCATTTTCATTGATAAACTTGATCTGTCATTAGGAGGAAATGCATCACTTTACCCCCAACACTTCCTAATTCATCTGTTATTTCATGAATAATTAATAAAATACCATAAAAGCGTTAATACTTTTTATGACATGGTAAATATTTTATGGCAAATCAATACTTTGTCATGTCAAAATCATCGCGCAATAAATAAACTTATTCGTGATGATATTAATCAGAACTATATTCTCTGAAGTTGCTGGGGATATTACAATTGCTGCAAATGGAGAGTCTTTCCTACTGCATAAGGTACTTTCCTGTTTTCACTTTCTCTAGTCTTTCTTTCATAAACTTTGTGCCTTTGGATAATTTATAAAGGTTTGAGCTTCAATATATATAAATTATCAGGATATAACATGTAGCTAAAGGTTCAAGATCATGCATAGTGGGAGAGGGTGGGGTTTTGTTTAAAGACACTTGTTTGTTTCCTCTTGGTTACTAACTAGATAGATTGAGTTTGTGATGGTGGTAAAATTTGAAATTCAGAGGATTATCAGACTTGGTTGAGAATGTTCCTGTGGAAAACCAAAGTTTCCATTAATGGTGTATTTGGCTATCAAGAAAAAAAGCAACAATTGTTGTAGTGATGGTATACGTAATGTAAGCTAACTTTACGATCACAATTCTGGAACACATTGTAGTTTGAAAAGAATTCCAGCTGGGCATGTAATGCAGCTAAAAATAATTATGTATCTAGAAGCAAGCCCCTTCTTGTTGTCTTTAGACCAACTTTATCATGCCTCGACAAGGGCACTACTAGATGAGATGACGCATCTTATACATTGAAAGGTTTACTTCAAGCACCCAGTGGTAATTCACAGTGAAGTCTGTCATATTAAGGACGCTTTTGCAAATGATTGAAATGGTCATTTTTTTTAGGAGTAGCATTGCGACAAATGCTTTCTAGAAATCAATTTTATGATTATAACATGTGAATCTTAGCCTTGTCTGGGCGTTTCATCTTGAACTATTTGATAATTAACTTATCTCTTCCTTATTCGACATTATACTTCATTCTTGAAGTTGATTATTTATGTGATGTTTACAATAGTTTCCCCTGGTATCTTTGAGTGGAAAGATCCGGAAGATGGTGGCGGATGCCAACGATCCAAATCTCTCAGAATTGGATTTGAATCACGTACCAGGAGGACCTGAAACATTTGAACTGGCTGCAAAGTTTTGTTATGGCATGAACTTTGAGATCACAACCACAAACGTAGCACGTTTGCGCTGTGTGGCAGAATACTTGGAAATGACAGAAGATTATCGTGAAGAGAATCTCATTGCAAGAACAGAAACATTCCTTGATGAAGTTGTCTCTCCAAGTCTTGAAAAATCCGTGCAAGTACTTTCTTCCTGTGACGCCCTTCTTCCTACTGCAGAGGAGGTTGGTATTCCAGATAAATGCATTGATGCCATTACCAGGAATGCTTGTCAGGAGCAACTTGTATCCAGTCTATCTCGTTTAGATTGTGATAGTGGATCTTTGGAACTTAAGGACAGGTGTCTTGAATGGTGGGTCGAAGATCTTTCTGTTCTGAGTATTGATTTTTATCGCAGAGTTATCATGGCAATGGGACATGTTGGGGTACACATAGACAGCATTATTGCGTCCTTGATGCATTACGCCCAGGTCTCTCTAAAGGGTATTGGGAAACCGCAAATTTGGAATCCAGCCAGATCGTATCCTTGTAAGGGAGAAAAGGGGCAGAGAACAATAATTGAAACTCTTGTTAGTCTATTGCCTCCAGAAAAGAGTTCATCTGTTCCACTGAATTTTCTTTTTGGGATGTTGAGGATAGGTATCATGGTGGATGCCACGCTAGCCTGCAGGCTTGAAATTGAGAGGAGGATTGCCTTCCGGCTGGAAATGGTCTTACTTGATGATTTGCTTATACCATCTGTCCAGACTACAGGTGATTCTTTGTTTGATGTTGACACTGTCAAGCGGATATTGATACATTTCCTCCAAAGGATTGACCAGGAAGAAAATGAAGATTGTGGATATGAATCAGAAGGTATTGATTCTCCAAGCCATGGCGCTCTATTGAAAGTTGGACGGCTGATAGACACATATCTTGCTGAAATTGCTCCTGATCCATATTTGAGTCTTGACAAATTCACTGCTATGATATCAGTGTTGCCTGATTATGCTCGTATAATTGATGACGGACTTTACAGAGCTATTGATGTTTATTTGAAGGTGAATTTTAAAGTTTTTAGTTATAGGCCTGTATATTGCATGTTCTTTATATTGGTGGTCTTCTTTGCGCATATAATGTTGTGTTTTAACCCTGCAAGCTGTTTAATGCTTTTAGTAAAATCACATCTCAACCCCTAATAAACAAAGTTTTAGTTTTAGTTGAATCTGCCATTTATCTCTTTGTGAACTTTACTAGGCCCATCCAACCCTAAGTGAGCATGAAGCGAAGAAGCTGTGCAAGTTCATAGATTGCCAGAAGCTCTCTCAAGAAGCATGCAATCATGCAGCACAGAATGAGAGACTCCCAGTTCAAATGACTGTCCGAGTTCTCTACTTTGAGCAGCTCTGCCTTAAGAATGCTCTATCCGGAAGTTGTGGAGATACTTTTGTATCACAAAAGATCAGTAGTGGTCTTACAAGTGCAGCTATGTCGCCTAGAGATACTTATGCTTCTTTAAGGAGAGAGAACCGAGAACTGAAGCTGGAGATATCAAGAATGAGGGTAAGGCTCAGTGACCTGGAGAAGGAACAAGTGTTCATGAAACAAGGTATGATGGATAAAACAGGACATGGAAAAACATTCTTAACTTCCCTCTCTAGAGGTATAGGAAGATTTGGTATATTTGGCAATCCTTCTGGAGAAAAACATCACAAGTCGGGTCGCAAATCCAGGACATCAGAAGGTAAAACTGGTAGAAGTAGGAGGTATTCTCTTTCCTAGAAATGGTTGTATGCCACAATGTAAATTAATGCATGATTCAAGAGCTCTGCAAAAGTGGCTAATTATTCTTGCTGTCCTTGCCAATATCATAGATATCATGTTGCATTGTTGAACTTGTTTCTAAACACAAGAAGAATAATGAAGTTGAAAGTAAAATATCTTTATTCAATAATTCTTAGACAATCTTCTTGAAAACATTATACTGAACTAGCACATAGGAATGTAACAACTGTTTAATAAAGTGAGTGAATTAAGTTCATCCACTGGAGTACGTAGTCTATGCTAGTATGTTGTACGAGCATCCTCATGCACCCATCTTAGAGAAAAGTTGTTTACGTATCTGCATAAAGAGCAAACCATAGACTTGAATGAGTATGAAGCTGTAGGTATTCAGCTGTTTGTGATTTGGTAGATTGAAGAAGATTGGTGTTACAAATTACCTCGGGGAGTTTCTGCCTGAAAACAACATCCAGTCGCGCATCCAGAGTGTTCTCGCAGACAATCTTCCCATCTTCAGAAGCCAGAACTACTCCTCCAGAGCTTTCATTAGCAAAATAAAAACTAGTCAAAAATCCGCGCTTCACCTCTATATATATGTCATTGCATGAAAATAACAGCAAGTACGTACCAAGAGGCTCGATGACGATCTGAATGAGTTGGAGGTGGAGGTAGATGAACATTGTCAATGGTGACATTAGGGGTACGCACTTTGGCTTTCTCTGTATACTCTCTTTTTGCATCCTCTACAACTGATTTAACAACTGAAACATCCATCTCCCTGCACCTCAACAACACTGATGGCTCCTTGAGTCTCACCAGACTCTGCACAGCATGCAATTACGTACTACTTCATTAACGAATAAATCAAAGGTTACGTTAGAAAACGCATGCAACTTAATTAATTAATAATTACCTGAACAATCAATCCCTTGAGAAGCTTTTTGTAATTATTCTTGTCACCAGAAATCTTTAATAGTGCTTTACTTGCAGATTCCTTCATTCCACTCACCACATCATCTTGTGCTTGGAGAACTTTGATACGTGATGCATTTAGTTGCATTGAATACTCGCTACATCAATATACCAATTAGTTTAATTTTTTAAACGAAATTATGTTACTTCATGAACAATAACACTATGAACTCACATTTTCTTACGGACTTCCACCTGCTTGGTTTTCCGTTCATACTCTTGTCTGACCTTTTTCTTCTCAGCTTCAACTAATTGTAATTTCTCTATTTGGAATTCCTACCAAAAGGATAGGCAAATCTTAAACAAGAAACTCAGAGATTTATACTAAAGATGATGTGGTATATATTACCTAAATTTGCATCTATTACTACAAATTTACCTTACAAGTGTAACAGGAGTAGCATTTTACACCACTGAGAAGTAAAAGGAATAAAAATGATTATATCAATCAATCCAAATCAGTTGGACCAGCGAATTAGTCTTTTTGAAACTAAAGGTTCTCTAAATTTTGACATATATTTTTACACAAACATACAAGTCTCTAAACTGAACGTACAAGTCTCTATAATATTTATTAATATAAGGGAAAAGAATGAGAGGAAAATTATGAAAAGTAAACCTCCTCAGCGGAGACAGAGATCTCATTGGCCTTCTCTTCGGCTTCCTGCCGTATGAATCTGACCATTTGCTGTATTTGCTTTGATACATCAGTGTCATTCATTTTTCAAATTTCTTTCCTTTTTCTCTTAGATTTCCTAATACAAATGAAAAAAATGCAATTTTTGGAATGCGAATGGTGATTTACATATAGATGAATAATTTATAAACTTTGGCTTAATACTGTTGTTGTAATGCAGGTCACCTTCAGAGGCGGATCTAAAATCTAATTAAAGGTAGTAAATGAACTTGTAATAAAATTTGAGTTCGAAAAATTAAATACACGTGCACGCACTGCTTATGTGTTAGATCCATCCCTTGTGGAAATAATGGGGCAGTTCTAAACGTTAGTTTTGAAGGAGTCCATTGTCATGCATTTCCCCCAAAAGAATTAGTACTTAGTATATGTTAATAGAAAGAAAAAGAAAAAAACAACCACGAGAAAAGTAGAATACAATATGACTTGATTATCAAAGCTTGAATGTGCCTTAATAGGACAATATATTAGAAAGAATTACAAGTAAATACGCATGACTTCACATCATAACAAAAAATGGCCCATGTTTTTAAGTTTTACCCTACCTAACCCATATTGTAATATTTTGAAAGCATTGGTAAATTCAAAATCTGTGCTCTCATAACCATTGCTTCTAAAAGCTATGGAGTTAAATATGTATTCTCACAACCATTGCTTTCACTCTCTCTTCTTCTCACATCTTCTACATATGCTTCAAGGAGCCGAGTATTTTCTGCTTCTCCCCTTGTGTCACCTGGTTGCAATGTAAGAAAATTAAAAAGTAGAAATCCACCATTGAAGGACATTCAAAGCTTTGCTTTCGAAAATATGATGTTTTGAATTTGTTAGTTGTTTGGATCGGGTGTTGTTCCAACTGATTGCAAATATCAAAAGGAGTTCATAATTTTAATTTGAAATGATTTGGAGTAGATTTGAGCAAGATTTGAGTTAAATTTCATAAAAGACGCAAGGAAGAAGACGAAGTCAGTTTTTTGTATTTGTATAATCTTGTATAATAGTGTATATGAGTGTATAAACACATCTTATACACTATTATACACTTTTATACACCTTTATACAAACGTCTGTAGACGAACTTCTTCCACGATTTTCAGTTGCAATTCTTGTTCAAAACCAGTCAAAATCTCTATTAAATGACTTCAAATTTTATATACAACCTCCTTATCCTATTTCTAACAAGTTTAAATAATACCCACTCCAAAATTCTCACGAAATCAAATTTGGAATTTAAACCCACATATTTAAGCTTGTTAAAAATTTAATTTTCACTACCCAAGTGGATTTGGTTTGTTGAACTAATATTGAGTCACAATTACTAATTCGAAAGTTAACTTAAAAGCTTGAGCAATCTTTTTTATTAAATAGTAATTTCGAGAACCTATTGGAGTTGAATTTTGAGTATTAGCCTATTATTTTTGGGCTAGTTGATTGTAAATTGAAATATGGGCTATAAAATTGAAAAGTAGGGAGCCCAGTTGTTCTTATGTGAAATTTTCCCTACAATATATTATTCGTACTTGGATGTCTTAACCTTTACATGGGAGATGACAAGTTGAAAATAGGGCTGAGCATATATAGGGTAAAACCGATAACCCGAATCGTTAATTGTTTATCGGGTTATCGGTATCGGGTTATTAGGTTAATGGTTCGGTAACAGTTTAGATATTTTTCACTATTTGGTTATCGGTTCGTGCCTCGAGTTGCCAATTTTGTTAATGGGTTAACCGACTACCCAATAAGAATTAATAAAATTACGACTATACCCTTAAGTATATACATATGCTAAGGCTTCAGTTCATTCTCTCCTATTCTTTCTCGGCCGCACTCTTCAGTTGCTTCATCTTCATTCTTCATAGACCTTGCTAGTTACTCCTAGCGTAAGTCTTTAATCTTAAACATTAGACATTTAATTTCTATAACAAAATTCATCTTCATATTGGTATTTTTGACTGTTAATAATTCTTTATTTTTTTATTTTTATTTCTTAATTCTGTGAGCTCACGTTGTGCGGCCTATACCTACTACTAGTTTCTCTTCGCACTTATCAATTCTCAATCAATAATCTTCGTCAGTTTTGGGTATATTTTTGAACATTATTCTTCTGTACAGTACACTGAGTTTTTACAACAGGACAATATTTTCTTGCCTTCTAGGTGTTTTTCATTTCAGCTAGTATTGCCCATGCACGGAACAAGGTTTTTCTCTATGTTTTTTTTCAGGTTAGGCATTTGACAAACAACATCCAGTTTATCTTGGACTGTTAGTACTATATGTTTGGACTTGTTAATTTTAAGGTGAAAGTGCTACTATATTTGGACAACTGTTGTTGAAGAAATAGTAATATTTTAGTTGTGGCCCCTGGACGTAACGCAGAAATGGGTAGTATACTATATGTGAATTCTTCTCTTTTTTGCTTAACTCCAGTGAATTATCTTATCTTTTTTGCTTAAATCTAGATTGAGTTATCTTATTGGGTAAACCGATAACCGAACAAATAATGATCGATAACCGAGAACCGATAACCGATATCTTATTGGTTCGGTTATCGAATTATCAAATTTGTAAACCGATAACCGATACGCTAAACCGATAATATTCATAACCGAACCGAACCGACCAATGCCCACCCCTAGTTTAAAATATTTAGATAAAAAGATAGTATACCTTATAATTCCAATAGAACCATCAATAACTTGTTGTTTGTTTATATATATATATATATATATATATATATATATATATATATATATATATATATAATCGAAATCTCAATAAAATATCTATCAGGTTTACAAAAAAAAAGTTGTTAGTAATCAATACATCCATGTTTGCAGATGAATGAATGTTTTACACCTAAAGAGAAAGAATTAGGATGCTTAAAATAAAAATACTATCTTGGACATGAATCGAGTAATAACAATAATGATAAATTTCAACCAAATATACTTATCTTACCATTGTTGTTACAAGTATGATTTTTGTCACGATCCGAAATTCCATCTTCGGGACCGTGATGGCACCTAATATTTTATTTGCTAGGCAAGCCAACGTTAAAACAATTTATCAATTTTCAACAGTTCAAATTAAATGATAAGATAGAAGCTGAAATAACTGTAATAATCTAAAGTAAAGTGCGGGAGCCATAACAACTGAAATATCTGGTACAACTCTGAACCCGGTGTCACAAGTGCACGAGCTACTAAAATAGTACAAATAAGGGTCTGATTAAAACATAAACCTGTTTGAGGGAAAATACACAGCTAGTAAAAAGGAAAGAGGACTCTAGGAGCTGCGGATGCTGAGCAGATATACCTCAAGTCTCCACAAAGCTAGCCAACCCGAGCATGCTAATAACAGCCATTATGACCGACTCCAAAATCTGCACAAGAAGTGCAGAGTGTAGTATGAGTACGACCGACACCATATACTTTGTAAGTGTCGAGCCTAACCTCGACGAAGTAGTGACAATGCTAAGGCAGATCACTTACACTATAACCTGTACGCAGTATATAATAAAGACATGAGAAGGAATAAGGAACAAAATAAGGCAATTAATCGAAGAAAATAGCTAAATCATCTAAGAAAAACCAATGACAATGAGAATTACCAATCCTTAGAGTTTCGTATGAAAAATACTGAAAATCAACAGAGCTCAAGGAAATAGAAACACATAGATTGTTGCGGCGCACAACCCGATCTCACCGTATAACACAATCCTTCCTTATTCCACCATAACAATATCAACAATCATAAATAAATATATGTTATGGCGCGCAATCCGATCCCACCATATAACAAAATCAGTAACACAATTCACCCTTATTTCACCGTATCAATCCACCTTTATTTCACCTGTTGCGGCGTGTAACCCGATCCCACCATATCAGTACAAACTCACCCTTATTCTATCATATCAATCCACTCTTATTTTACCTATTACGACGTGCAACCCTATCCCACCATATCAGTATCAAATATTCAATGAGGATAATCAAATCAGTAACTCAAATCACAGGAACCTCTACGATTGACAAATATGAAGTTGAATCAGAAAGGAAGCCTCGTACCAATTTTCTAATTCACATATGTAACATTACAAGGCAAGACAAGCTCGATAAATAATAATTAAAAGGTGCAAGTAAGACAATTAAGACAATAACAGCGGGTCATGAAAGCATAGAAAGACCTATCATTTTTAACATGAGAAACAATGATTAACAGGTAGCAAATAAAGCATGAGAGGCATTTAAAGCACATAACAGTTAAGGCATGGAAGGAAATAATTAAGGAAAAGCGGAAGATCGGTGAAATAAGTAGTTTGGAGGCGTATAAGCACTCGTCACCTCGAATATACGCCACAATACATAAAATTCACATGGCATATAGTCTGAGGGTTCCTAGTTCCCTCAAATCAAGGTTAAACTCAATCTTACCTTACACTGCAGTCAACTCAGAGCTCTACCGGGGCTTTTCCCTTAGAATTCGCCTCCAAACCACTCGTATCTAACAACAATTGACTCAATAATATTGCTAAAGGAATCAATTATAATGCATAAATTTATGATTCCCACACTTTTCCCCAAAAAAGTCAAAATACCGACCCCGTGTCCGCTTCGTCAAAACCCGAGGTTCGGACCAAAACTCATTTATCCATTCACCCCCGAGCTCGATTATGTATTTAGTTTCGGAATCCGACCTCAAATTGAGGTCTAAATCCCTAATTTGCAAAAAACTCCAATTCTTCCTAATCTCTAGTTTTCTACTATGGAAAGACAAAGATTAGGGCTAGAAATTAATGGGTGATGTTAGAAATAGAAGAAAATGAGTTAAAGTGTACAAACCCATGAATTGATGTTGAGTTTTCTCTTCAAAATCACCTCTAGGCCGAGCCCTAATGGAGAGTTTATGAAAAATGGGAGAAATCCCATTTTTTGAACATTTAAATCACTGGGCTTCAGGCCTTCTTCGCGTTCACGAAGGGCCTGACGCTATCGCGAAGCAGCAGCTCAAATAGCCTACGCGTTCGTGAAGGCTTACACCCACCTGCCTACGTGTTTGTGAGCCTTGTGCCGTGTTCGCGAAGAGTAATGGTCAGTTCCTAGCCCCCACTTCACAAGGCTACGCATTCGCGATTGACTGGCCG